CAATGGAATTTCTGGGTCAGAGTATCCTTATAAACTTTGTAAAACTATTTAACTATTTAAAAACATGTACAATGCATTATATGCTAATTTTTAAAATAATAAAAAAATTAATTGCTGGTCATTTTAGGGCCCCCATTGATATAGAGTGGGACACCAGGAATGAGAAAATGTTTACTGTTTTAGGCACAGAGCAACCCAGAGGTTGAGGTGACAACATGAGGCAGCACAGTGTGGTGGACAGACCAAGCACAGATTTCAAGTTCAGACTCTCAGAACCTTAGTTTTCATGTTTGTAAATTGGAGATGCTACTGTCAAAAAATCTTGAAAAACAAACAAACGAAAAGATATAAATAATATAAGGCATGCAAGGCATCTTTATCCTTGGAAAAGCAGTATACCATAGAGGTTCAGAGGTTGCCCAGGTATGTCCTGAAGTAAGTTCGTAAGCTGTCTGAATCTCTGTTCCCCATGTGTAAAATCAAGATAATCTCACCACGTGATGATATTGTGAGGACTCAATGAAATAATAATTAGCAGGGTATTTAGCAAGTGAATAATATTCAAGTTCTCAATACTTGTTAGATTTCATTCCATTTCTCTTTCTTTCCAAGCTCATTATTTCCTTTCCTGTTTAATGAAAACAATTTTAACTTCCCTTAATATATCAGAAAATTTTATTAGAAGATAGTCTATCTATAACTGATACAAAAGAACCCTAAAAGGCTGATGTGTTACAGACACAAGGAATTCTCATAATGCATTTACTTATTCATTCAGTTGTTTGAGAGATGTTTAGCAAGCATCAATTTTGTGCTAGGCATCGAGATATATAATGTATGAATGTGCAGATGAATTGGATACATTCCCTCCCTATTATGAAGTCATTCACAACCTGTTAGAGAAGGGAAGATTTGGACTTGAATACCTAAGCATCTGATGCAGTACTATGTGTAATTAATACCACAGAAGTGGTATAAAGAAATGTTATTCAAACATGAGAAAAGAAGTTATCATTTCTGGATAGAGTATTCAGAAAAGAAAGAATTTATGAGAGCATCAACATCTGCTTTGGTCTTTGAAAGATTCATACAACATTGTTATGTAGAGATAGACACTGAGTCATTCCAAAAGGTAAGAAGTGTTCAGAGAGAAAAACAAATAAAGGGCAATGTATATTTCTGGACTGACAAATAATCTGACTTGGCAAGAGTCTACAGTATATATACAAGGGCGTAGCAATAGGAAACTAGAAATGTAGACTCAGATGTGATACACTGAGGGGTTTGTAGTTGTTTTTTCTTGCCAGACAATGAAGAGCCATTGGAGAAATTTATGGAGTGGAATGCCGTGTTTAAGTTGTTTTAGGAAGAAATCTGGCAAGCAGGATACACAAGTCTGGAAGATGCTGGAGAGATGAAGACTAATTATGAAGATCTTTTGACAGTTCAGGTGTGAGGTCATAAAGAAGAAAATAAAAACATGACTCTTGGGAATGAAAGGTAGCCAGGGATTCAAAAGATATTGTGGAAGAAAAATCAATGGGATATGGGAACTTATTGGATGAGGAACTTACATATGGGACAGAAGGATTCTGAAGCACCATGATTTTTAATAAGAAAGCACCAGAAGATTGGTACAGATAGAACTTAGTTACAAGAGGAATGTAGCAGGAGAGGAAAAAAAAGAGGCAGCTAAGTGTACAATGTCTCTCTAGGCAGTGAAAGGAATGAAAGAAAAAGGACAATAGCTTCACAGAGTATTGTAGCTGGAAGCATAATGGTTAAGAGTGCAGAACTCAGAAGCTAGAACTTCTGAGTCCAAATTCTGGCCCTGCCACACCCTTGCTGTGTGACTGCAAGCTAGGTACTTAAACTCTCCAAGCCTCAGTTCTGTTATCAAAACAGGAATAATAATAGTATCTACCCCATGAGTTAAACAGTTGGTATTCATTATAAATTCCACATGATTTTTTGCACTTATTATAGTAAAATTGAAAGATGCATTGGAGCATAGAGAAAACATGACATATTGTAAGCAGAAAGAAACAACCACTAATTCATTCATTTGACTAAGTTATGTCAGTTGATTTCTACCCACCATGTGCCAGGCTCTGTTCTGGGTATTGAGGATACAAAGCGATCAAAACAGGCACAATCTCTGCCCTCATACAGATTACATTAAAGTATGGGAAACAAATAATAAACAAACACAAGAATGCAAGTAGCAGGGTCATATATATATTAATTTAAAAAAATGAAGCAGAATAAAGAAGGTAAAGTGACCAAAGATGCTACGTTAGGCAACAGTCAGGGAAGACCTGTCTCTGGTGGTGGCAGTTGAACACAGACCTAAGGGAAAAGCCACGTAAGTATCTATAGAAAAGAGATTCCAAGCAAAGAGAATAGCAAGCGAAGAGCCTCTGAGTTGGAATGTGTGTTATTATCCAAAGAACAGAGAGGAGGGCTGTGAGGCTGAAACGGATTATACAGAGTAGTAGCAGAAGGTGAAGTGAGGGTTATGGCCAGAGGTTGGACTACACAGCGCCTTGTAGGACATGCTAAAATCACTGGATTTTGTTCTACATGTGAAGTCAGGAGGAGTAACATATTCTAATTCATACACTGAAAGGCCGCTGTGCGGACAACTTACTGTAGGGATAACACCGAAAGAAAAGAGACCAGTTACAAGTTTACAGCTATAGTCTATAATCTGTAAGAGATGGTGGTGGCATGGATAAAGGTGGAGCAGTGGAGATGGGACTAACTGGTCTGATTTGGGACAAGTATTAATAAGATTTGGTAAAAGATTGAATTTGGGGTGTGAGGATATCAGAATAAAGAAGCATGAAACTAGAGTTTTTAATAGGAGTCAATGGATGAACAGTGGTGCCATTTACTGAAAAGGGGAAAACAGTAGAAGGATCAAGTTTGGAGGTAGGGAAAGGGAATTATGGAAAAGCAAGATTTCCATTTTGAACATAGCTGACTTGACTACTAGAAAGCCATGTGGAGAAGTTGAGTCAACAGTTGATATGGAAGTTGATGTGGATTCTGGAAAGAGATTAAGCTAGAGATAAAATTAGGGATTTATCAGCATTTAGATGGCATTAGGCCATTGGTACTAGATGACATCATCTAAGAAGCTAGGGTAGATGGAAGAGAAAAGCCTGAGGACTGAGCCCCAGGGCACACTCTGACTCTTAGAGATTGGGAGTAAGAGGAGGAATAAGTAAAAGATACTGACAAGGAGCAGCCAGTGAGATAGAAAGAAAACCAGGAGCATTTAGTATACCACAGCCAAGTAAAGAAAGTGTTTCAGGAAAACAGAGAGAAGCTGTGTCAAATTATGCTGAGCATCTGAGAACTGATCATTTGATTTGACAACACAGAGATTATCGATAACCTTGGCAACCATGATTTCAGTAGAGAGGGACTGTGAAAATCTCATAAAAACTAATAAAGAAGATTAGAAAGAGGAAAAAATGAGTATAGAGAGTTTTTAAAGGAGTTTGTCAGGAAAGGGGAAGAATGGGGCTTTAGTTGAAGGGATAAGTGGTATGAAGTGAGAGTGCTTTAAAATAGAGGTTATGACAGAATGTCTGTATGCTTACTGGAGTTATCAGTGAGGAGAGAAAATAGATGATGCATGAAAGGGAAAGGATAATTACAGAAGAGTCCCTAAGTGGGTGAGAAGGGATGACAACAAGGGAGAGAGCTGGCTTTAGATAGGAGCACAAACACATCAACTAGATTTGATGGAAGGACAAGGATATCATTGCTGAATGCTTCTCTTTTCTTGGCGATAAAAGAAGAAATATTATTAGTTGAGATTAGGGAAAGGAGAGAGGTATTGGGAATCTGAAAAGTAAGAATAGATATAACACATTCATCTTATAAAGTAAGGGAATGAATGATTAGAGAAATATAGTGGCATTTCCAAATAGATGACCACTTACCTTGGATTTGTGGCTGTAAATGTCCAGTAAGCAGGTTATGTGCTTTTCTCCAGATAAAGTGAGCTCTTAGGGTACACGGTAAGAGTCAGAGAGGAGCTAATTCAACCTAAGCTAAGGGTTGAGTTTTTTCAGATGAGTATGATGGGGAAGGAGGACCAAGGGAGATGAGGGTAATTGCAAGGGACTGAAGATAATAAGTGACTATGGATTCTAAGTTGAGTTTGGAGGGAAATAATGACATGAGTCAGATGAGGGACAGTGGAAAGGTGGCAGAGTTAACGGATTGCAGGTTTTAGTGGGATTGAAGAATTGTTGGCAAGTGAGCAATAAAATAAGTGAGCAGGAAAGTAACAAGGTGATAGAAAAAGGGATGTTAGAAACTGACAATTTGTAGGGGTTACAATTATTGGTTTAGTGTGCGTCACGGAATTGACAAATTGAGGTGGGAAGAAGCCAATATCATTGTAGATAACATAAAGGAACTAACAGTCTAGGACATTGGATGGATTATATGCACGGATATTAAATTACCAAGATTGATCATAGAGGTAATTGGAAAGGAAGTGATCTCCAGATGCTCATATCTTCAGTGATTGTAGGCATATGACAGAAAACTCTAATAAGAAAGGTGAAGTAAGTGGATATCTGTCAACACTCCCTTCAATAGTGCTATATTATTTAAGTCTCAAAATTGGACCTACTACAAAAATAAAAAAAGCTATGAAGATGATCATTAGAATAAGATCAATAATACTGCAGAATTTTCAGCTCTTTCTCCATCAATTCACATTTTTTACAATTCCTTAAGTACATGGTCATATTTGCCAATAGCCAGACTATTCGATTTTGTATAACAAAGACAACAATAACAGTGCGAAAACTCTGAATTCTAAATATAAATGATAAGGATTTAGTCATTCTTCATTATGTCCATTTGCCCAGAAAGTTCAGAGAAAACTCTAAATATTTTTTGATAATTTGATACAGAAAAGATGAAAACAGAAAGCACTTCATTTCTTTAATGTGGTACCAATCTTTACTCACCAGGATTGTTGGACTGGGCATCCATAGGAATCATGAGTTTGGCCCGGGTGGCTCGGCGTGCAGCTAGTGACCTCTCTAGAGTGGACATGGAGCTCCCTGCTTCCTCAGTGTCTTGACCTAAAGGAAAAACAATACTCCTGAGAGACACACCTTCTTCAATGACCCAACACTTTACATCATTTCTAGCCAGACACACCAATGCTTTTTTCATTTTATTGATGTTTTAAATAATAATACTTACTTTCCTGTTACCCAATCAACATACTCTTATTGTACAAACATTAATAAAACTTACCATAACCTCATTAGCCAGAAAGAACCATTATTTATATTTTGTTATTTATAATTTTTACATATGCATGTATATGTGAAAGTGAGAAGGTATATATTTATTTTGCAAAAGTGGCATTATACCATACATACTATTTTGTAAACTTCTTAAGAAAATAACATGAATATCTTTCTCTGTCAATAAATCAGTAATATAATTTTTAACAGCTCCATAACATTCAATTGTATGAATTTACCACAATTTATGCAACTAGTACTTAAGGCCCAAAGACATTAAATCTTATTTTAAAAACAAAGGGAATAAACTACATTCTTCAAAAACAAGATTAGGCATATTTATGTAAATTTATTATGATTCCATAAAATGCCATACTAAAGAGTCATTAAAAATAATAAGAAATAATGATACATGCAGATCTGAAAAGTAAATAAAAATCTATGTTGAGAGAAACAAAGCTGAAGTTCTGAACAGGCAGCAGACTTGCTGGTCTACCTTGCATCTATTAAACAGAGGAAGAGTTAATTGAAGAGAGCAAGGCTGAGAGAGGGACATAAACTTTTTTCTCATCATTTGGCCTGGCAAAGACATAGGAGCTTACTTTGGGTTAAGTGGGCACTTGAAAAGTTGATCAGGCTTGAGTCTTTTTGCTGGAATTAACCTGAGTGCAGCTGCCCCACCAGAGGACCTTTGAAGTTGACATGTAGAACCATCTGGTGTGAGAGGGTTAAGCCCTGACTTGATACCACATATAACGAATTGGCTGATGGAGGAATCTCACAGGGTCTCAGAAAGATTCACGCTTGTGTTTCATAAGGGACCCAGAATTTGGATGCCACATGAGCACAGCCCACATGCCCAGAAAATCAGTGAACTTCGAACTGTCCTTTCTTCCCTCCCTCCTCACCTTTGTCCTCCCTTCTCCTCTTTACCTCCCCTCCCTGTCCTCCCACATAGCCAGCAAGAGCAGATAGATAGGAGGAATAGGTCAAGATGTTTCTGAAACAGACTGTGTGCCCTTCCTTCTGTCCCATCCCCACCACTCCATTTCACTCCAAGGTGCTGAAGGATTTAAAGAGCAAATTGTGACCCCAGTTCTCAGAGCCAAAAGTCTAGCTGATCATAAAAGAAAAAGAATCCTTAATTTAAATTTCAGATTGTAGTTTTAATAGAACCGGATTGTAGTTTAATAATTGAAAGTGACAGAAAAGTTAGAGACTCTGAGATATTATTTAAGGTCTAGAAAAGGAATACTCAACAACTCATGATTGGATATCAGTAATTGAAGTTCTTGTTTAAACAATTTTAAGCTGAGAAAGTCTAGTTAACCAGTTACACATTCAAACAACTAAAATATTTTAATTTGGTTTAAAAACAACAACTACTCATTCTACAAGCACATCATTAGTAGACCAAGAGATTTTTTGATGAGACTACTTGGTTGATTATTCAACTTCCCATAAGCATTTTGAAAATAGGAGGACCAACAGAAAGAAAAATATCTTACAACAATTTTCTAGATTTCTTAGTTATTCCTGGACATGGATTGTTCTGCACCAATTCATTAAACAGTAGTCTTGTTTCCTTCAGATCACTTTGTATACCAAGAGAGCCTTCAGATAGACTCCACCAAACTAGGCTAGTGATGATGTAACGTGATTGCATGAGGATAACAGTTGATCTCCATGGTAATTAAGGCAAAGAAACAGAAAAGTCAATGTTTTCATACTTCAAGTGTCCCTGGTATGATTTTTCAAAGCAAGGAATTGACATCAAATTTAAAGTCAACTTTCATTTATCCACAGATATAGTGAACTAAAAAAACGTAGAAATGGCTTCAAATTTTATTGCCTTGCAAAACTTTTGTTCAAGATTTAACAAAGAGCAGTCATTTCATTTAGGCTTCACATTTCAATATTTCCCAACTCCATCACCTCCAACCTCTTAGAAGTTTCAAGAAGCCTTACAATTATAAAAGTCAGGCAACAGGATGATGGAATAGAAAGTAAACCTAGTTAATTGACCAAATTTATATCAGATTATTTTAACTGTTGGCAAATGACTTGCAAAATAGTGGAAAGGTTACCTTCACAAAAGAAGGAGTGGAGAACTCCCTTGTGGGGTTCAGAATGGGATGTTTTTCCTGATGCCGGAGAGAAGAGAGTTACCTGAATGAGAGGTGCTCTTGCTCCCCATTTGGGTTTCTGACTGGCTGTGACTGACTGGTGTGAGGTCTTGGCAACTTTGGATGGGGGAGTCCCTTCCTGGAGGGTCAGTGCCTGCTGGCTTCTCGATGTTTTTCATCTCCATTTCTTCATGATGTATCCAAAGATCAGGGGGCCGGAGGTCCTTCTGACTGCCCTTCCTTTTGCCAACACTGTGAGTGGCCCGTTTCCTATGGAACAAAATTAGAAGGCAAATGTGAGCGTCGCTCTTCAATGGCCCTTCTTCTTTTTTCTCAGTCAATTCAAGTTAGAAGCAGGAAGGACACAAAAGCGCTCCCAGGAGGAAACCTGTGAAATCCAGGAATTGGCAGACTTGTCTTGGCTGCTTTTCCCCTTCTCCCCAGAGCTTCTCCACACTATAGGAGATGTGGGGCTGAATCCCCAGGGTCACAGCTGCCTGCCAGAGTGCCTTACTCCAGCTTCCGCGGCTGCAAATTCTCACACAAGGTGACAATGGGTTAGATGGAACCATATGCCAATCTTTGGAGCTAGGCATAAGGTACTGACTGCAACATCTGTTTAGGAGATAAATGAAGGAGTTGCTTCGAAAGGGCAAATGAAATAAAAAAGCCAGAATTTGTGCCAACAGTCAAGATTGGGGCTTAGAAGAATGTCTATACCTCAGCTGTATAATTTAATGTGCAATTGGGAAGCTTGCTATTTGAAGACAAAAGGCTGCATGAGGAAATTCTTAGAATAAAACACTTTTGCCTTGCAGTCACTAAGTATCTGGATTCAAACACAATAAGACCCATTCTTTGAAAAGAGAAGAATACACTTTGTAAGTGTGCTTCAAGTGTTTGTTATTTTCCTCAATAAGAATTTAGCAATCATAAATTTATTTTTCAGTAGTAGTCTCTTTTTGGGGCTAGTGAGATTCAGTAGTTCCCTGCATGCTAAGTTAAGCAGCATGATGCTCATGCTAGCCATTCTCTACAGCAGGCTTCAGTAAACCATGGCCTGAAGGCCAAATCTGCCCACTGCCTATTTTTGTAAATAAAGTTTTATTGGAATCCTGCCGAGCTCATTCGTTTTAGTACTGCAGTGTTCAATAGTTGCAACAAAGACCATATGGCCCACAAAGCCTAGACTATTTACTATTTGGCCCTTTTCAGAAATAGTTTTCAACTTCTGCTCTACAGTTTTATAATTTCTTAAGTCTCCAGTTGTAGCTTCTACTTCTTTCACAATGATAACGTCTTTTCATAAGGCAGAATTCAGACAATTAAAATCTAACCTTTAACAGAAGCCCAAAGAAGTACCTCCTTCTCATTTTTCTCACTTGCAGTGAATGGTTTATGAGGATAACTGTTTTCATGGTTGCTAAATGGTTCAAACAAACTGTCACCATTGTAACCTATGCAATGCCACTAAGAGTGACTTTATTTTCTCAATTGCTGAACAAGAACCTTTGCACATATCAGGCAATTAATAAATATTTAGTGGTGTGATTTGTTGCATGTTCCTTGACATTCTTTTTTTCTTTCTTGAAGCATTCTGATGAGGATAGAAGACAAAGAACACCGGACTTAATATCTATCTAGTAGTTTAGTAGAGAAATAAGGCAGTGTTTTCTGCTCTAATATTTTCCCAACAACTACCTGCATTTTGCTGATTTCCTGGCAGCAGCTCTGCACACTCTAGACAATGGTCTATAATAACCCCTAGATCCTTTTCTTGTGTCTAAGACAATAGCTCTCTGCTAACTATCCATTCCCTGAATTCATTTCCTTATACTTCACCTGCCTACAGGAAACTAGTCTGCAGCTCACACATAGCTCTGTGTGTAATCTACTCCTGGTGACTTAGAAGAGTTTAGTGCCATTTTCAAACTTGGAGATTTCACCCTGTTATCTTTCTTTCTAACAAATCAAAATGCTAAATAACTTAACCCCAGTGTCTATATGACGGCATACAGAGAAGTACTAGTTCGCAAATCCAGGACAAGACAGTCAGACTTTTCGTGATACCTCAATATTTAAATAGCCTGTGGCAAAGAAATCTGTCACATAACTTTTGAAAGCAGAAATAAATTATGAATTCTGGTTTCCCCTTGCTTGCGTGCATGCCTTATTCATTCATTTACCAGTCTCCGTGACTTCAGTACCAAGTATCCTCCGGTGTATTCTATTTAAAAAAATGTTTCAAATCTGATTGAAGCAGAAGTATTTTGTCTGTTATGATTTCTAACCTCCATCTGGGAAGAAATTATCATTCCTGATAAAAAATGCACAAGCATTTTTCTGATGGATTTTAATCAGATCAAGACTTCTTTTGAGAAGCTACTCAACAACCTAGCTGACTGTCAGTCAAGAATCTAAAGATCTCTAAACAGACTTTATTTGCTTTTTGTATTCATTCTATGAGAGACCATCTAACCACTTTTGTTTTCCATAATGTCTTTATCAAGAGAGAAATCTTTAACCCTAGACAGGCCTCCCTCCTCTGCCAGTGGTAGCCCAGAGCAGCAGGTTTGTAATAAAACTGACATCTGTTCATAGCTAAATTGTCTGAGATTTATCTTAAAACTTGTAGGAACAGTTGTCACGCTGGCCTTCTGTCCATCTGCTGGTTCCCTGACATAATGACTGCTGCTCATTGCACCCCCAGTTCCTGTCTTACCATTGGAATCTTCAAAATTTTTATGCAGATGAACCTAGGTCAATGGTTCCTGAATTGTGGTCCTCAGACAGCAGTCTGAGGTCTCAGCATCACCTGAGGACTTGTTAGAAATGTACATTCTCAGGCCATGCCCCAGATCTTATGAATCAGAAACTTGGTGGTGGGGGCAGCAATCTGTGTTTTAACAGCCCTTGAGCGGAATCTGATGCACCTCAAGTTTGAGAAGCAGTCTTAGTGAATTATTTGGTTTTGTTTGTTTCCATTTTCAAGTTAGTTTTTCTATTACATGTAGAACATGTCACATGTTTATCCCTCCCTCACATGCACCTTTTCTCACAGGTACCAGTAATCTTTCAGCTTCCAAAAATAGTTGTAGGCTAGAAGTTCTCTTCTTACCTCAAGTATTCTCGAATAAGGCAAAGCAAGGAATCTTCCAAGGCTCTCTATTGTCTCTTTCTCATACTGTGGAAAAGTTTTCATGGTGTAATCAAGAACTGGTATTTTGTTTTTTGTTTTATCTATCTGTCATTTATCTGTCATCTATCTATCTATCTATCTATCTATCTATCTATCTATCTATCTATCTACCTACCTACCTACCTACCTAATAATGCTTCTGCCCAGAATGCTTTCACAAGCCTATTTACCTTCAAACTACTTATTCTTTAAGATTCCCTTCAAGTCTCTCTCCTTCAGGAAGACTTCCTGATGACTTTAGGTGAGTATAATCATAGAATATCCAAATCATTTCCATCTCTCTCTGTACCACTCACCCTGCATTGATCTCCATCTGTCTTAGTTAGCTGGCCAGATGCTCCCTGTGTGTGAATTGATTTCCTCCAGTGATACTGGAGCAAATTCTGTCTCCTTCGCTTCTCCAACATCAGCTATTGTTTTACAATATTTATTCATTTATTTATTCAGTGAACACATATGGAATGTTGACTACGTGTCAAGAAATATGCTAAGTACTAGAAACGCAAGATAGGTGAGACATTGGGAGCTCAGGAAATGAATGAAAAATGACATGGCTTCTGGAAAATTCTGCATTGTTGGAGTAAGGAGCATACACTGGGACATGGCATGTAGTAAAGCTGAAAAAACAGAGAGGATCAAATCATAGGAGGTCTTGCCTCCAACAGAAACATTTTTAATAACATCAGTAAGTCAGTGGGGAATTGCAGAAAGATTTTTAGCTCATGAATTAATATTAATCATACTTTGTATGATGCAGATCACATACTAAGCACATAGTAATTACTTGAACTGAATAATAAAAAATTTTTCATTATTGACTGGGAAGTATTTTTTGCAAGGCTCTTCTCTGATTTTTTATTGGCCTATCTATTCTTTACTTCGCACATAACCTAATAGGAGTTTCTTTCGTTTTCACTTTTAATCGGTATACTGGGGATGTGAATGGGTAAGAACCAACATTGGTTGAGCATCCATTTTATTCAAGACTGTGCCCTTTGAAGTTCTAAAACACTACTATCATCTCATAGATTCTTCAGCTACAATGTAATAAATTATTAAGCTCCCACTCTGTGCTTAGATATCCTCTGCTGGAGCTGTCCACAGGAGGCAAATAGCTCCTAATTCTCATGGTCAGATAGAGGAGGTCCCAAGACCTGATGGGAAATTGAGGCAGGGACACTCTGCCCCCACAGGGGGTTTAGAGAAGGCTTCAGGAAGGAAGGAGGCCCTGTGGAGAATGATTACTAGTTAACCAGGAAAACATACAATGGGAAGTATCAATACCTCCCCTGCTTCCTCCATCCAAATCTTTCCCAAAGGTTTCCATCCTCCTAAATCTCTATATTATTTTTAGTCTACTAACTACTATTAAAAATAAAGCAAAAATCTTGTATTGGAAACCCAGGGAAAACATGTTCTAGATACTCAAATAAACTTATATTTTCTGAGATGGAATTAAAATACATTGAAGTCCTAAGTGGTTGCCAGTTAAAATGCCAGTGTGGTGCATACTGAAAAATGAAAATGTTAACAAATTGAAAATTGATAAAAGTGATCTATAGGTAGTTGAAGTACAGTAGATTTCATTTAAGAGTATAAACATTTGGTACTTAGTATTCAAAATAAATATTTTTGTCAAGATTTGAATTCTGTTAATACTTAAAACTTGCTGTGTATATTCCAATCAAATAGGAGGCTTAGTCAACCAGTGACTATCAAATAAACCTTGAATTTTCTTTACATATTTAAATTTAATGTATTCAGACAAGTTATTGATCACCTACCCAGGTAACTGACTTAGAAATGTGATAACCATGGATTTCCAGGATAACCTGGATTTCGAGGATATTCTTAACGTTAAATATTTTGTCTTTAGTATCTACAGATACATTCTAACTGCTCATAATACACGTTCTATATTTTGGCCAGGAAAATGTTATTTCTTTATCAAAAAGCATGGAAAAAGACCTCTCATCAATTTAAGCTTTCATAAAACACAATTTTTCTCTATATATTTTACCATAATCTCACTAATTCAAAACGTATAAAGGGAGTCTTTTCAAAGTAGTAAAAAAATTAAAATTAATAAATAACTTAAAAAATGCAAAATTATTTTTATTTCATATTAATATGAGGATAAATGCTACCATGTGATTCTATAATTTAGTAGTACTCCACGGGGAATTTCAGTGTTTTAAAGGTAGAGGAGATGATAGAAAGTATTTAATCCTATTTCTCCTTTGAGGAAACTGACATTCAGGGCTTAGGTCCTCTCTTAGGTGACATCATTAGTTTAAATGAAGAAGTGGCAGAATCAGAACTAGAACTTGGGTTCTAACTTCTGTTAGTGATTTTATATCATAAAAATAAAATCTTACCAACTAGAGTGTAAATCAATCAGAAAACTTACCTCATTATTAAATATGTAGTATAGCACACAAAAATGTTTCAAAGTCACTTGAATGCAATTCAAGTCCGCCAATAAAACACAAACAAAATTTACATTCCCCAGCACTCCCAGATAACGAGATATGGAAGAAGCTCATGAATGTGTTTCCTACTTCACCTTATTAAGTAAACTCTCGTTTTTCAGAGAGCCCTGTAAAGGACATTATTCCTGTTTCAGATTGAAATTGATTTTGCTTTCATCTGCATGACTTAATTTGTTCTAAAAGGCTCAACGGTAGTGGCACGAGGGGGAGGGGTCCTCAATGAAATCAAGACAAGCTAAATTAAAGCTCAGATATATCTTGAAGGAGAAAAATTTGCTTTTTCTTTGTTAACATATACAAATGAAGAGACCAAGATGAATGCCAATGGGTCTGTTACTGAAGAAAGATACAGGAAGCAAAATTGTGAAAATATGCCAAATAAATATCAACAGACTTTGGGGGTGGGGTGAGGAAAAACCAAAGTGGCAGCAGCGTAAGAGCTATAAAGTCACTTTCTTTGGGTTTTTGTTATTCGTGGAGGGATTTATTCTTTCATTCATTCCTTAATTTTAAAACCAAGTCATACCCAGGGCTCAGTCTCTACTCTTTCTAAATAAAACCTTCAAGCTCTTACCATAGTGCCTAGAGTGGAATTTAAGACAACTTGAGAGTTCCTCAAAACAGCATCAAATTCCACCTTTGCATACTGGGAAGACTGGCATTTTCTTTGGGGAGAAATAAAATATGATGAATCCAATTCATCAGGTCAATATAACCCTCAAATATTCTTCACACCATGGAGAAGAAGAAAGCAGAAAAAATACAACATCCTGCTACAGATGGTTTAGTTAATTAAATTTAATTTAGTGAATGAATCCATGCTTTTAAAACTACTCTGAAATAGTCCAAGTTTGATTTTGATGCCCTCCTTACTTAATGGTTATGTGAATCTTTCTCAGCTCTGCTTCAGACACCTGCTGCCTTGATGTTCCACCGTTCTATGCTTGTATGGCCCCTTTCTTGGGAATGCTGGATCAAGAGTTATTCAAAGCCTTACTTGATCACAGTTATTTTTTCCCCAGAGCCTTACTAAGTTCCCAGTACTCTGGAAGCTCTGTGGGTGATTATGACTTCCCAGAATGCTTACACATGAGACCAGCCCTGTTAAACTCATTCTGTCTGGTTCCTTGCATGGGCACGATGGGCCAGCACACCAGTTATCACCAGTTTAAAGATAGTCCAATCTCGTGAATGCGTGAATTTTATATCACGAAGATATAAAATTTGTCCTGCACATAAATAAATTAAATACAAAGACTGTATCTACATTCCTATGTCACTTTCTTCAGCATGTACATCTTCCTGTATCCTGTTTCCAAGAACTTCACTTCAAAATTCTGGAAGATACTCTAGAGATCAACAAATAGGGTCATAAGATTTTTAAAAAGAGAGAGAAAGGCTAAGGTATTAATAAGGGAAGAGGGAAAATTATTTGCTAGAGAATCTTTCTCTAGCAATGTGTGCAGTATATAGTTGTCAAATCAGCCAGCTATGGGCCCACCATGCCTGAGGCATTAAAAAAAAAAAAAATCAAAGGAAGAATCTATTATAGTCAATCCAGTGAGAAAGTACAGCTGAAAAAGACATATCAGGCTGGATTTGAAAAGTGCTAGAGAGGCAAAGAGGCAGAGAATAACCAGGAGATTATTGCTGATTCCCACAACTGGCTGACACAGGGTTAATATGCTGGTTATGGGGTGTTGCTGGAAGGAGATAAGCTGAATTAAAAGCACCTTTCCATTCTAAACCCTGTACTTTGATGTATCATTCTCTGAATGTGTTATAACCTAGAGCTGCATAATATGAAAATATTTTTAATTTCTGAGAATCCACCACAGCCAGGAAATCTGAAACATTTTGAATTTCTGGAATCTCTTTTCTATCCTAACTACTACCTCCAAACCAAACACTGCATAGTATTATCACTACGTTGAGTTTAGTATTCTATATTTAGTCGTTCACGCAACAAGCATTGATTAAATGCCTACAAGCCTCCTTGACAAAAGCCATAAATAAGTAAGTACTTTTTGAGGAACACACATCTCCATCCTTTTATACATAATTGCAGAGAGAGCCATAAGTAGGGACATGGTAAATTTCCTTCTCTAAGTCTTACATAAGGAACTTCTGTCCTCTATACAGCTTTCCTCTATTTGAAAGGAAGAATCTGACCTTGAGAAGTAAAATCAAACAGAAATGCCATGTGGGTCTCCAGGTGGATTCCTCTATTAAGTCTGCACGTCTAGTTATGGGACTGGAATGGACAAAAGGCAAGGTGTTTCCCAGGTCAGGAGACAAGGAACATGTGGAGAACTATGAAGAGTGCAGGAAGAGAGTCGTCAAAAACATAGCTCTGAAAGATGGTAGTTGGGTCAAGCAGTGACTTCTCTCCTCTTGGGAACCAGCTGTTACCTACTTTCTCTGCTGGGCTGAAGAGCGCCGGGTGCAAATCACGGCCACGATCACCACCACCAGCACTGTGATGACACCAACGGTGACCACAATGATCACAAGCAGGTTGCTGTTCTTCTGAGGAGTGACGCTGCCATGTGGGGGGTGCATCTGGCCAATGGGTGGCTCTGGGAAAAGACAGGCAAATGGAGGTCAGGTTTAGGGAGATGTGGCAGCCCATTGTTTATCAAGCTCTGTTAAGGATGAGAAGAGTTCCTATTGTTCTGGGCATTCCTTAAGCTGGGAAAAAAGTAATGAAAAATGAGAAGAAAGATCTAAATTATCTACCCAAGAAAAACGAAACCTACGTCCACACAAAAATTTATACAGGAATGTTCATAGCAGTATTTTTCAGAATAGCCAAATTGGGGAACAACCCAAAAGCCATCAACTGATGAATGGATAAACAGATGTGGTATATCCACACAATGGAATACTATCCAGCTGTAAAAAGGAATGAAGTACTGATCCATGCTACAATATGCATGTACCTTGAAAACATTACGCTAAGTGAAAGAAGCCAAACATAAAAGGCCACATATTGTATGATTCCACCTATATGAAATATCCAGAATAAGCAAATCTACAGAGACAGAGAGTAGATTAGCATTTGCTGGTGGACAGGGGGAGAAGTGAATGGGAAAGAGTGTTAATGGATACAGGGTTTCCTTTTAGGATGATGAAATATTCTGGAATTAGATAGTGGTGATGGTGGCACAACCTTATGAATATACTAAAACCCACTGAATTGTGCATTTTAAAAGGGTAAATTTATAGCTTGTGAATTATATCTCAATAATAAGAAAATAGAATTAAGCTATCGCATTGAGTAGAAAGTGGGGAGGGAAGGAAGAATGCTGCTTTGTACTATAAGAATTCCAATGTGACAAAAACCAGAAAAGGCTGGGGTTTATGAGAAAACACTACTTATTTGGTGCTGTGAAAGACAAACTATTTGACACCAATCACTCACAATTTACTTCCGTTCCTTTTAAGAAGCTATCCATAAAGCACATTTAATTTTCAACCTGTCAAATATGTATGATTCATAAAAGCACTTAAAGCAGCAACTGGGTTTGAAAGAGTGTCATAAAGTCCTGATATGAATATTTTCCTGTGTTGCAACTGTACCTCATGGTAGACAATATTTAGGCAAAAATAGACATTTTTGATAATTTGCTTATGTAAGTGGCTAATGACTCTTTAAATCACTTTCTTTAAACCCTCAGTGATCAATCAATTAGAAATACTCTGTTCTATGTCATGTTTGTCACTGCAAGCTACAAATTTTTAAAAAGTAAATATTAGCTTATAATTTTGTTCATAAATTAGAAAGTAAATTTAGAAAGGAGCATAAAGAAATGAGTCTGGATGTATTCCTAGACCTGAGTTTGAATATGATTTTTTAACAATCTATATTAGCTTTCTATACCTCTTGAGCAAAATATTTACACCTTTTGCACCTCAGTGCCTTTATCTGTAAAATGGAAATAATAATACTTCTACACAGTTACTGACAGAATTAGAGGAAATACATACAAAGCAACCATCTCAGTGCCTGACACAGAGTGAGTGCTTAAATACCATACTACTGAAATATTGATTAAATTGTTGCCTAAATTAATAATCTACCATACCCTTTGGGATACTTCTGCTGTGGACTTCCAAACAACAAAATTTTTAGAAATAATGCTCAATGTGAAAGAAAAATTACCTTCTTCTCACAAATGAATATAATAACCCGTACTTGCCTCAAAATCAAAACACTATCTTTTGACAGTCACCTAAGAATCATTGCTTTTTGGAAAAGATAGTCACCTAAATTTAAATAAATTATTGCTGATTCATTATTATTGGAAAAATAATAAGCGCTTCTGAAATAACTTGAATCTCAGGGGGAGGAACTCAACAAAAGTCTTTAAATAGCACTTTCTGTTAAAAAATTCTGATTATAAATGAAAGAAATAAGGTTTCCTTGAAGTAATTTTTACATTTACTACAAAGGAATGAGATAAGTAATGAAAGGTCAGAACTTTTGTATCATAGTTTTACTTATAATTTAAAAAGTCATTTTATAGTAATATCTTGATATGCCCTTTCTATGCTTAATAAATTAATTCATTAGAATAAATTAACCTTTTATGTGAGAGCTTACAATGAAGACAGTTGGGGATCTCATGGATTTTTATTAGCATGAGTTAAATTTAACAGTTCCCCATTTCTGACAAACTTAGTTTGAGTCGAACATAGCATTCCCGTATGAATATTTTTAAAATCCTTGTAAGCTAGAATTTTTCAAATCTCTACTCTTATTTCTTTCTTTCCACCCAGGAAGACATCATGTTTCAAGTCAGAAAATAATGACTCTGGATTCTGCTGAGCATTAGTGAGATTATATTGACGTCATTTGCCTCATAGTTAGGGTTCATGGGCACTCCCACTATAAATCTTTGCTTCCGAGCCTTTACGACTTCCTCATAAAAGTTCCCACTAGTTTAAAACTTGATATTCAAGGTCTTTCATTAATTTCCCAATCTCAATTCAAAGGCTGAATAACCAGAATATCTGACATCCAGTGGGCAGTTAAGAAAGTCAAGTGCAGGGGCCAGCCCAGAGGTGCAAGCAGTTAAGTGTGCGCACTCCACTGCGGCAGTCCGGGGTTCACAGGTTCGGATCCTGGGCATGCACCCACGCACCGTTTGGTAAGCCATGCTGTGGCAGCGTCCCATATAAAGTGGAGGAAGATGGGCACAGACGTTAGCCCAGGGCCAGTCTTCCTTAGCAAAAAAAGAGGAGGATTGGCAGCTGTTAGCACAGGGCTGATCTCCTCACAAAAAAAAAAGTCAAGTGCAATGGTGCCTGTAGATGTAGTTGGTCCTTGTTATTTGCTGTAGCTGTGCTCTATCAAGTCACTGCCAATACTGAATTACTAAGTATTGCTTCTAGAGGAAATAGTGTGTTAGGTTTCTGTGAACCTCTGGTCACAACATTTTTATCAACCAATCAACGCATAACCTTGTTTTATGTGAGTTTGTTTAAAGACACCTTATTTAATGTATATACTGTTGACTCATTAACATTGAACTCACGGCCAACAGCCCTGTGACTTATGCCTGAGTGAAGCTTAATCAACACATATTTTCTTCATAAGGCACATCACAGCCTTTTTTGCTGAGGAACAGTAGACAGCACTTCAGCACTACATTGAGGGGCCTCTTTAAACACTGAAACCACCAACAAAAGCCACAAAACATGTGAAAAATTGGCACTAAATATATCGCAGAAATGACACTCGTTTACAGCATGAGAGCTGAAACAATAAGACAGAGCGTCATCTTGCTCCATCTCAGTTGAGTTCGTGAGCATTGGGCTCCTCAAATTTTTGGCTACTCTGCACATGTCCATAAAGGATCATAAAAGCACCACAAGTATTGATTTGGGGGGTTACAAATAAATTTTATCGAGTAGGTGAATTCACAAATATGGAATCTGCAAATAATGACGATCAACGGTATATCTAAATACATCAAGAGACTGCTCCAAATTAGGAACAATTTTAGAGCTCACAAATCTCAACTAGTGTAGTTAAGAGCCTGACTCCAGAAGGGACAAGATAACATTTACCACTTTTCAGGCTTCAGAGAGGAAGCTGGATGGTGTAATTCAAAGACTTGCAAATCTCCTTCAGGGCACTGTGATTATTTCATGAGATAATGGATGCAACACACTGACCACAGGCCCTGGCAAAGAGTTAGTATTCAACAGACATTATGATGTGGCTCAATATAGTTCATTCTATGTGATTTTTCCAAATTAAAGAAAAATATAGTATCCTAATGCATCTTTCCTGGTGTTAGCATAATAGTGTTGGTATCCAGTGTCTAAGTAATCAAGACCCTAGATATGTTCCATTAAAATTAGTGAGAAGGAAGTCAATTTTTCAAAAATCACATGGGCATTCCATCCATTTTTAATTTTCATGATGTTTGATCACCATAAAAGATTTCATCTATTTTCTACTAAATTTAATAACAGCAAATATATATGTTTTGTAATTCGACGGGTCTAAAGTCTTAGTAATGATTGGAAAATTGGTTTCATGAAATAATAATGACTTTAATTTTTATAATACTTCATAGGCTTTCAAAAGTATTTTATGCTTCTTACCACATTGGCCCTCAAAAGTCTGCAGTAAGCTCATATAAAAACTAGTGTTCTGCGTACATAATTATCCTATAGAAAACAAAGCCAGGTATTGAATCCAGGAGTTCTGGCTCCTGTTTTGAGACCCTGATCTCATTGCCACAATGGCTGTCCCTAGTAGCTGCACAGTATCAATATGCAGGTAAACAATGTGAACATAAGATTGACAGGTTCAGTTCTGAGGAGAGAAACAGATCCCGTGAAAGTTTCTAGATGGGAACTGAACTTCTCTCCTACATTGCAGTCTTCCCTGACAGCAGTTTTGTTACTAGAACACTTTGAGCTCAACACAGGTCTTAATAATTTCACAAGTCTTTGAATTTGAACAGAAATTCATATGGCATTGAATATTTCAAAGGATTTCCCCATGAAATAAAGTGCTATATAGTCAATCAGCTGGAAGAGACCTCACAGATAATCTAGCCCAGTGTTCTCTAAAATTAAATATTAATCAGCATTAAGGGAGAAAAAACTTCCTTGGTCAATTAAGTTGGAAAACATATTTCTTTCCTCAAATATCAGAATTTTGAACATGCTAATGTGAACTGTGAACTGACAGGAGAGGTGGGAGAGGGACAGTAGAGAATGTATCCAATTATTCCATAAATATATACTGAAGAGCCAATTAAATGCTGTGAATATGATGTGATCAAAAATTGTGATCCAAAAAAAATTGTGAAAGCTCCATTTCTGAGCTATTTTTTTGGAAGGGCTGAAAAGGAACAACAGCCAGGCTATAGAACCATCAGAAAGTGTTTATGGAGCCATACTTATATCATTCCATAATAATTTGTGTGTCATTATTTTCTTGTTTATTGTATGGTCTGAGAACGATTTCCAAATTAGATTATTGCGATTGCTCCCCACCCCCACCCTACCCCCAAAAGAGGCATGATTGTTGACCTCATGGAGCTTACAACTTACT